GCTATTTAAAGAACTCGCTTTGCCCAGGCTGTGATCACGCAGAGAGTTTTCTAGGTCTTCTCCTTCAACTTTCTGCTTCTAATTTGGAAGCCAGGTTTCTGCTTTGGCTCGTGGCAGGAATCGGCAACTGGAGTCGGACAGCCATGTGCCCATCTGTTGAATCAGCAGAAGTTTAAAAAAAGATTCTCTAGTGAAAATAGGTCTGGTAGGCTTTTGCGGTTTTTAAACCTGCAAAACCTGTTTGACCAGGACACCTCAAAGGGACAGGTGAGGCTTCTTCATGTAGTTATGGGCAGAGGTGTCTGCGCATTTCTCTTTGGCCATGAAGATTTGAAGTGCTGCCTTGGGTGGACAAAACAATTGTGCGGAGTGTGCCTTTCAAGCTATTTCATCACTGCTCCAACTGCTCAAAGGCATAAGGTCAAAATTACTTTATGGCCTGCAAAATTACTTTATACTGGACTGCCTGCGATAGTGCCAGGACGGTACTCCTCTCTCTTCTACCCTGTTTCTTGTTCTTGCTGCCACCGGGATGGGGAGGTAAAAAGAGATCTGAATGGATGGACCTGTAGGGGATAGGATCCAACTTTTTGGCTCCCCCCGTTCTCCTCCTCCTCCTCCTCCTCACTGGGCTTCCTCGTTAGTCCCAAATTAGACTGAGTTTATCCACAAAATGAACCCACACGATGGAGAATGGCATCCATTTCCCCCTGTTCTACAAAAGAACAGGAAACTCCTCTGATCAGGACTGCTTTGTAGCAATCAGAGGGTTTTTATATTTGCTTGCTTAGTACGGCATCCAGTCGCTAGCTCAGGAATTCTGGCCCGCTGCCAGTTCTGGTAATTATTACAGGGGGGCTCACCCTGCTTTTCCAGCTGGCTTCAGTTTCCTAGAATAGAACAGTGCAGCGAGAGAGACCCCCAAAGGTCCTCTAATCCAATCTGCCGAGGGGGCATTGGGCACAGACCAGCTTAAAAATGAGCAAGCGCTGGCTGGTACAACCTTAGAAATGCTCCTTCTCAAACGTGTGTCTGTAGCCCCTAATCCTGAACGTGTGTGGCGGCGCATCCCATGGAAATGAGGCTTCTGAGAAATGCAAGGAAGCGATCCCCATGCTCAAGTGAATCCTGAGATGCATAGAAGCTGAAACAACCATTTACAAAAACGGTTGAGGAGGCAATATTTCCCTCACCCCCAGATCCCCTCACCCAGTGATGACCGCTTGCAGTCATTTACTGTTGAACACTTCTTGTCTACGAAAAGCAGAATAGCGTGGAATGGCTCGCTGGGGCTTAAACAGCAGTCAAAATGTTTTACCAAGCTCTGTTGCCGGTTCGGGGAAAGATGTGATCAGGCGGCAGATCACGAAACATGGTTTTAATTCAAGTGTTTGTAAAAAGTTCAGATTCCAAGCATCACCTAGAGCGAAGTGTTCTGGAGGTCAGCTAGATTTGGGGGAAACATAAGCATGAAACTTGCCTCTGCTTTAGAAATGCTCGCTACGGCCCCATATCCGAACTGGTGAACAGACGCACGTCTGTGTAGCAAACCTGCAGGGATCGCTTGTTTCTTCTGCCATTTGCTTGTGCATCGGCTTCATTGGGAACGGTGCGGAAGAGAAGGAGCCCTGCTTGCCTGCGATCGCTCCAGGGGGATTTCTAAAAGATGCATTTCAGGAGCTGCTCAGATTGGCTGGATGGGACTGGGGCCAGCTCGCTCATATTGCAGCTTTGCTCTTCCCTGCCTGCTGGCTTGGGATGGAAGCCACTTTTCCACGCTGCGCACAATTCTCTCTCGCTCTTTTCGCATCGGATTATCCGTGTCAGCGGTTCTTCTATGGAGATAACAAGCTGTCCAGCATCAGGGAAACTGGGCATCCAACTCCACCTCGGTGGATGAGAGCAAGCTAGCTTTGGGAGCGGGGGCAAACTACATAGCACATCATCCTGCACTCTGACATGTTGTAGCTTCCTAGCATCCACCTCACTTGGTGCCATGCTATTTTTGCCCAGAATCCGATGCTCTTCCTTCAACACTGAAGTCAGGATGGGTATGGTTTAGGGATGCACAGATTTTATTTGTTAAAGCTTCTCATATATACTGTCCGACTACTACAGTCTTAGATTTTGGGATTTCGTTCAGTCCCTTCTGCCTGCTTTTTGTCGACAGTCCATCCACCCTCCTTGGTGGAATTGGATCAGTTTCCCATTCCCAAGCTTGTGTGTGTGCTCTCTTGCTCCAATCTGCGCTGGCACAATTCTGAAAATGCAAGATTCCCCTGATGCATGTTTTCACACCTCAGACTGTGAGCAGAAATGCACATTTTCAGCCACTAGTTAGTTCCTATTTTTCTGTGACTAGATCTGCATTATTATTTATTATTTATTTAAAGTTTTTGTATGCCGTCCCCTTGCTATATAGCCTCGGGATGGCGCACGGAAATAAATATAATACAAATACAGTTAAAACCTGGAAACACCCTGGCTGCACAATTAAAACATTATCTTCTCGAAGGTCAGCCCCGACCAGCAAGCTTGTGGGGCCCAAGCAGCTTGGGAACTGCTACAGAACTGTGGGTCAAAATCTTTTGCAGATACCTGGCTTCCTTGTGACTATCGCTGATCTTTCCTCTCTGCTCAGAAATGCCACTTCTAACCTTGCCAAGGTACCAGGAGAAGAGTAATGTGTTAAGGGCAGAGTTGTGACATGTCTGCGGTGTGTTAAGGACTTGCACGCCTTGGGATGAATTCCCAAAGGCCTTGTTTGTATCCTGTCACGTTAAGTCTGGCGAGACTTTGTGGTATGCAGCTCAAAATAGAGGCTCGTGCGGTGGCAGGTTGGTTCTGGCGAGGCCCTGGAAAGGGAGCTGAAGAGGGGTGGGTGCAGGGAAGAGAAATAGGCTTTGCTCTAATTTGGAGACAAAATCAGGAGAATGGGGGCGATTTTCCATCTTCGGGTCTCTGAGGCCGCTTGCAGCTGGTGCTAAAATGCCAGAAATTTGCTCCCAGGCAAAATTGCATAAAAGTGTGAGGCTGTGTGTCAGTAGGGAAATGCAGAGAAGCCACAGCGTTTGGTTACAAAAGCAGTTTTCCAGCTGGAAAATCTCAGCTTTTCACCTACTAGGACTATAGGTGAGGGCTATGCATATTAAAAAGTATTTTTAATGTGCATGTTTCTAGTCCTCAGTATGCTGCTCTTAAACTTGCTATCTGTGCTCCATACTTGACTGGCTCTTCTCACCTTCACTGCTTATATGTCTTCCCTGGTCCTGTTTCACATCCTAGAAAACACCGTCCTGGGAATAGTCTGGGAACAGGTCCCTAGATTCCCCCTGTCCTAAGAGCTGGCAGTCAGCTTCCAGCAGACACAGCCCTGCAGTGGTGTAGCTTGAAATTGAGATCTGAGTCCTATCCCATTGACTGGAGTTTTTTCAGGGCCTCATCAGAGATTCCCAGGCCTGGCTTTTTCAGAGAGCCTCGTGCTCCTCAGGGCACGGTGTGACATCCAATTTAGAGCTTTCTGAAAGCCATTGTCAAGTGTCCAAGAGTTAAAAGGAAAGCCTGGAGACTTTTTTGCTCAGCAGAGAGAGGGAGAAAAGGCAGAAGCCCAGAAGTGCAGATTATATTCAGCTGGAGAAGCAAGCTTTGGTTTTCAGCACTACTCTCGTTCTGCTTCCAAGATGAATTGGGGTTGTCTCTTTATCTTCTGAATGTCCTTAAAAGTTCACCAAGTGCAGACTGCTAGAAGCCGTGCATGCAAGAACTGTATTCGCCTCCAGACATTGATGTACTAAGATGTTTTAAAAATTATTTTTAAATGTCGTCTTGGACAGACGTGTCTGAAATAACTTTATTTCTTCTCATTTTTTAAACTTGCAGCTGAAGTTATAGATGGTTTCCTATTTCCTTGAGCACAGGAAAGTCAGGCCTTTGTTTTAAATATGTTTGGCTTTCTTCTTGAAACTACATCAAGGTTTTTTTAACAATAATATCTTTATCAACCATAGCTAACAGAAACTTACCAGGATGCCACCGAAAATCTGAGAATTCTTTAAGAACAAGCGGAACCTGCAGCAAAATGCTCTGGGTTCCAAGGACCTTATCCAAGATACTCCGTTCCATCCTGTCCATTGTGTTTTAAGAACCAATCAGCATCGACACTGAGCTGATTGCCAAGTACTACCTAGCCTATTTGGGGTCCCCCCTTTATATTTCCCCCTGCAAAGGTTTTTTTTTTTTTTTAATTCAGAACTTCTGCAAACCTTGGCATAAAACCTAAACTGGAAAGCAGCTTTTATCCACAGAGGAAGAACTTCTAAGCTGGGAGTGTAGTCCAGCAAACCAAGCGATCTGAGCAGGCAAACTGCAGCTGACTGAGAGTTATAAAGTGATTGGAAAATGCGATCAGAATGCATGGTGCTGAATAACCGGAGGATCAAATGCTCATCTTCTCCTTGGAGAAAATTTTGTCCTTTAGTTACGGGGGGAATATTTATTGCTTCTCCTGCCAGGGGCTGCATAGGCTGATTTGCATCTTGCTGGTGTTGTTGAGGCACTGATTTGTTTTTGCATGCAGTTTTGGGGGTTTTAAAGACTGCATCCCCAAAGCATTTTCACTGAGCCTTCCTCCCCCATCTCTGGCCCCGTTTCAAGAATATTCTTCTCTGTGACAGGGTTCAGACAACATGCAAACCACATTTGGGGTTGTTCACTGGCCATTGAAAGGGCCCCAATTTTTCTGGGCAAGACTCTACACAACTTACAAAAGATTTTAATTATCTTTTGCTTTCGTTGTGGGTTATTAGTTTTATTATTGTTTGGGGGATATTTATGATCTTTTATATTGTTGTATTTATTGAATCTGCAAGCCGTCCAGAGACGCAGAGTGATTGGACGGGTTAGAAATATCCCAAATAAATAAATAAACGACAAAGCATTTGCTTGCATAGCATTAATGCATGTTTTTTCTTTTCTTTTGCCTTTGTGGCTTGTTCTTTCAGTCGTCTATGAACACCGATCTCGGCTCGAACGATCCTTGCAGAAGGAGCGAGGGGAGCACAAGAAAACGAAGGAAGGTGAGCTTTCTGGCCCAAGTGGTGTGGTTTGCTGAAAGGGCTGTTTGGTAAGAGGTGGCGCCCATCCATGTCTTCCGAAGGCCAGCCCAGCAGGTCGCATGAGTCTGGGGGGCGGGCAGGCAGCGATGAGCAGTTGGAGGGCCAAGCCGCATGCCCCTGTTGCAGCCCCGAAACTCATCCTCTCCCCCAGAGGCTGTGGTGGTCCTTGCACCATTGCTGCTCTCCTGTCCAGCGTTACTAGTCAATTTCATTGTATGGAATTAGTTGTTGCAGTTGTTGTGTTAGTTGTGAAGCCGTGTCCAACCCATCATGACCCCATGGGCAACACTCCTCCAGGCCTTCCTGTCCTCCACCATCCCCCAGAGTCCCCCTAAGCTCACACCCACTGCTTCAGTGACTCCATCCAGCCACCTCATCCTCTGCCATCCCCTTCCCCTTTTGCTGTCAATTGTTCATCTCATGCTTGACCACGTCCAGCTTGCTGTGATTCATGGATCTTACATTCCAGGTTCCTATGGAGTATAGATCTTTACAGCATCGGACTTTCCTTTCACCACCAGATACATCCACAGCTGAGTGTCCTTTCGGCTTTGACCCAGTCACTTCGGGGGAGGGGGGCACCCTTTGTCCTTTGCCGTGAGACCAGGAAAATCCCTAGGGCCAGCCTTGGTCTTGGTTATGCCCCTGATCTGGCCTCCGTTGCTGCATCTCCAGGTTTTCCTCCTGAGTTCCCTTATCCAAGCCTTGAGCTCAAATGCTCCAGCTTCCATTAGCAGTCCCCAGCTGCAGCTCCCCTTTAGAAAGGCAGAACGCCGCAATTTATTACGAGGCCAGCTCAACTCGTGTGTCTTAAGCGATTGCCAGAGATCAATATGGCAATTGGTGTGTTTGTTGAGGGCTTTTGGGAGGGTTGCCAGGATTGCTAATCATCATAAATAAAAATGTTGCATCCTGCCAAACGGTGCCGGCCGCTTAGTCTCTGCTTTGCTTGACTTTTGGAGAAGAAGCTGTGAAAGATGGATTGTGTGTGTTTTCTGAATGTCTAATTCAGGGTGCAGTAGAATGACCAGGTGTCCAGCTTTCCAGTGGACGCTCCTCTCTTTTGACAAAGGACTAGCCCTTGCTTGGAAGCATCCTGGAATTCTAGAGGAGGCTGGTCCAGTCCAAGCTGGTTTAGAGATAAAAACCCTCCGTAGGAAAGGCTTTTAGGGGTGCTGCCATGTCCTGGAAAGATCTAGGAAAAAGGACCAAATATACCAGTTTGTATGTGGAAGTTGGACCATAAGGTCCACACTGAGAGGCAGTGTGGTGTGAGAGCCAGTGTGGTGTCGCGGTTAAGAGCATGGGACTGGGACTCAGACAATTCGGGTTTGAGGCCCCGCTCAGCCATGGATCCACCTGGGTGACTTTGGGCCAGTCACAGACTCTCGGTCCAACCTACCTCACAGGGTTGTTGTTGTGGGGATAAGATGGAGGAGGAGAATGATGCAAGCTGCCTTGAGCCCTTTGTAGGAAAAAGGCAGGATATAAATCCCAGTATAAATAAATAAGGAAGGCTGAGCACCAAAGATTTGAGGCCTTTGAATTGTGGTGCTTTGAGACCCCTGCGAGTCCCTTGGACCACAAGGCGATCAAACCGGTCAGTCCAAGAAAAGATCAACCCTGGCTGCTCTTTAGAAGGCCAGATCCTGAAGATGAAGCTCAAATACTTTGGCCACCTAATGAGAAGGAAGGACTCCCTGGAGAAGAGCCTGATGCTGGGAACAATTGAGGGCAAAAGAAGGGGATGGCAGAGAATGAGGTGGCTGGATGGGGTCACTGAAGCAGTCGGTGTGAGCTTGGGTGGACTCCGGGGGATGGTGGAGGACAGGAAGGCCTGGAGGAATGTTGTCCATGGGATTGTGATGGGTTGGACGCACCTTCACAACTAGCAACAACAAAATATGCCAAGTTACATGTGCTTAAAGTCTGGTGGTGTGTTGTGTTTTTAAAGATCCTGTCTCCTAAGGACCCCTGTATTTCTAAAAGGGATGTGTGGATAATAGGGGAGAAGAAGATGCTTGATCTCAGGAGAAACCTCAGGCGGAGGGGTCTGGGAGTGGGGCAGCAGAAGAAGAGGGAGCTTGTACATGCGAAAGGGCAGCTCTCCCAGGAATAGAAGATGCTCTAGAGATCACGAGGGCCCTCAGCCCTCTATTTCAGCAAGCAGCCACGGATGGACAGTGGAGAGGCAGAAGGACACAGAGAGATTCAGGGCTCCAGAAGAAAGACTGGGGGCTCGGTCCCTTGCGAGCCCCCCTCCAACAACATCTCTGGGAAGGATTGGAGGGCCTCGAAGTTGCCCTTCCACTGCTAGCATCTGGACGCAGAGCAAAGCAATACCGGAAAAGAGGGAAGAAAACATTTCTATACTGCTCCACTGCCAAAGCTCTCTGGGCAGTTGATCAATTATATCAATACATAATATCTATTGTCATGCACAGATAGGGGTATTTGCATATGTGCATCTCATGCAAATTTGTGCCTGTCCTTTTAAGGAGATTTCTAAGGTTGATCATAAACTTGGTCCATGGATTCAGATGGAATCACGTCTAAAAAGAAACATAGAAACAGAGCGAGTCAGAAGGGGCCTCCCGGGCCATCTAGTCTGACCCCTGGCTCCGCTCATGACATGCCCACCATGTGCATCATGTCCAGCCTGTCCTTGAGCACCCGCACCGATGGGGCCTCAACGACCTCTTGTGGGAGCCCATTCCACACCCTGGGGGTCCTGACTGTCAGGAAGTGCTTCCTGGCATCCAAACTGAACCCTGGTTCCCTGAGCTTTGCGTCATTGGAGCGCGTCCTGCCTTCCTCTGCAGGGGAGAACAGGTCTCGACCCACCTCCGTGTGACACCCCCTCACACACCTGTATGTCGCCAATAGAAATAGTCCTGCCATTATCATCATTGCTGAGCATTCAAATCACGACCAGAACATGTTCTTGGTTCCTATACATTGTCTCTTGATCTCTACAACAGCCCTGTAAGCAGGCCAGTGTCAATGGTCAGGGTTTCCCCTCCAGTTTGTAGCCCTTTAAGGAGTGGTCCATGGTATTTTGGGAATAGAATTCAGTACCATGGACAGCTCTGTAAAAGTTCAGGCTGAATCCTAGTGCAAATACAGCTTCTTCACTCCTAATGTGGTGCTTGGATTATTCTGAGGCACCAAGAATACTGGGAGGGATACCTAGTGGGTAGAGCATATGTGGATTATTTATTCATTTCTGGATCCAATGTAAAGTCCTGGCAATTATCTTTCGATCCCTAAGCAGCTTGTGACCAGAGTATTTGAAGGCTCCCTTATACCTATATGGACTTGCCCTGGTCTTGAGATCAGCCTGGAGAACTCAAGACAAAGGCTCATACTCTTGTTATTATTGGCTAGAGAAATGGGACTTTGCATAGATTTAGATGTTTTTTAAGTTATCATAAATGGAAAAAGAAGGGTGTGGGGGCTGACCCAGCGGGCCCGACGTTTTTGATGATGGATGTTGTTTGAAGTTTTCTTTCTGTTTTTTTAGGATTATAATTTTTCAAATAAAACTTATTTAAAAAAAAGAAACTTGACAGGCAACAAATCTAAACACAAGCGCGGATAAGGACTGGCAGTAAAAAGTAGAGAATTTTTTTAGCCCTTATTTCAGGTATCTATCTTTGCAAGGCAAATCATGGCATGATCAATGAACGAACATGCACTAGGAAATAAAAACATTAAAATAATTTCATCTTTAAAAAAAGAAAAAAGACAAAAGCCCATGAAGTATGAGAGACGGCCTTTTTGGCCATGGCCCCGTACTTCTGGAAATTTCTGTCTAGGAGATACATATGCTTCGCACGTACCCGAAACAGAACTTGAAAGCTGTTTTTTATTTCAGACTGCTTTGAAATGCTTGATTTTCCCCACTTGGTCTCACTGCACTGTTCTAATGACATCATGTTTAAATGTTTTCATTTGAGATTGTGGTTGTATTAATATTTCATGTTACTTTCATATAAACCTTAAATAGTAAATAGCAATTTGCTCCAACAGTTGCTCTTGGAAAGGGTTTTGCCCCGACAATGTAGGCATTATGGAAGTTATTTCATTAAAGACTGATAGTTCCCATGCCTAAATATCTCTTTTACACCCAATCAGTAAAGGAGGGACCCTCTGGAGTTTTCAAGACTGAGTTTTTATTTGCTTTTCCAGATTTTTTTTTTTTAAATAGTGGGTACATTCCATCCTATTAAGTTCATAGGCCTTGGCTGGCTTCCTCTTTAAAATGTAAACCAGATTCCAGTAAATTCCATCCGACTAATATTGCAATATCTTTCTTGCCTTTCAGATTTCTTAGTGTATAAACTGGAGGCCCAGGAAGCCCTGAACAAAGAAAAGGTGGGGTAAAACAGATTTCTTTCTAGCATGCATGCCTGTGAGTGAGAGAATTTTGCCTACAAGCGACGAAAGTCCTTTAACCCTCTTGTTACGCTGGATTAACCAGATTGCTAACTTGAGTTGGGTCCCAAATGCAATTAATTTTTCATGCATTTCCCAGCAGCTGCTTTGGGCCCATCAGATTCCTGGTTGAACTATGCACAGGTGAAGTGGCAAACAAATTAACTGTCACATTACCTATGTCTGCAACTACCTAAGGACTCTAAGGTGTCATAGAAAGCAAGAAGATGGTAGCGGGGAATTGTGCAGAGATGTCAGATGCAGGGGTCTGAACGGGCTGCCCCCAGCCTTGGCCAGTCCCCTGGGCCTTCCCATTCTCGGGGCGCCATTTTGGAAGGAAAAGTCAAATTGAGAGCTAGTCTGGTGTCGTGGTTAAGAGCACAGGCTGGGACGCAGGCAACCTGGGTTCGAGTCCCCGCTCAGCCATGGAGCCCACTGGGTGACTTTGGGCCAGTCGCAGGCTCTCAGCCCAGCCGACCTCACAGGGTTGCTGTTGTGGGGATCAAATAGAGAGCAGCAGGAAGAGAATGACATAAGCCACTTTCATGAAGCAGAAGGTGGGGTGTGACTCTAATAAATAAACTGTGGGGAAAGGGGCTTGATGGTGCGTTTATCCAGAATTTTCTCTTAGCAGTGGAATTTGGGTATGGCTTGCTCCTCCTCTGCCATGTCGTGAGGTTGCTTCGCAAGGGGAGGAGACAGCTGTGCCTCGTGTGTGAATTATTTGCTTGGCAAAATGAATAGCTGGTCTTTACTGGGAGGATAAGGGGATAAACTGGGCTCAGCAACGTGGTGTTCCCAGGCCCTCCTATGCTCCAAGTATGCGCTTGGCTCTCCACCAGCTTCCTCCTGTCTTATTCAAATTTATTTGTTTATTTTTATTTATTTATCTGTTGATTTATATCCTGCCTTTTTCCTACAAAGGGCTCAAGGCAGCTTACATCGTTCTCCTCCTCCATCTTATCCCCATAACAACAACCCTGTGAGGTAGGTTGGGCTGAGAGTCTGACTGGCCCAAAGTCACCCAGCTGGCTCCATGGCTGAGTGGGGACTTGAACCCGGATCCCCTGAGCCCCAGTCCCACACTCTCAACCACTGCACCACACTGGCTCTCTTAAGTGTCTTTATTGAAAATTAGGGATTTCTGATGTGTTATCTTCTGGACTATGTCCTTCTGATAAACCGTCCTCTCTCTTCACTACAGCAAGATTCCATGAACCGGTATGGTGCCCTGAGCACTCAGCATAAGATACTGAAGGTAAGTGGATAAGTAGCTTCTTCGATGTGGTTCTCTTCCATTGGTGGCCCATTTCCCTAACGCTTATCCGTGCCTGCTAGAGCTGATTGGAATTGGAGACCCATAACTTTTTGAGGGTCCCAAGCTCCTGGCTAAGATCTGGACCATGCTGTGGGTTTCCCTGTTTTGTTTTGTTTTTTAATCCAGCTGAACGACTTTCTGAAACCTGCATACAAGCATTACTGGCAGAAGCGCATAAAATTAGGGTTGGTGTGGAAAGGGTGGATTGCAAAATTTCTTTCTTGCATAAAGTCAAACTGGAGCCATTCGAGGAAATCAAGTGGTGGAGAATCGGAGCAGAGGAAATAATCTTTTACTCTGCAAGGTTAAATTATGGGATTTAACAGGATGTGGTTATGTCTACCAATTGAAATCATTTCTTTCTTTCTTTATTACAAATATTTATATCCTGTCCTTCTGTGCAAGTGCTCAGGATGGCTTGCATAGTATAAAATAGCATAATAGCATAAAATACAATAATAAAACCACAATTGTTAAAAGCGTATAGAAGTGAACATTATAAACTTAAAAAAAGGAAGGAAAAATAGAAAGTAAAAAATGTGACTGTGAGAACAGAGGAAAAAACCCCTTAAAACCTTTTGGATTAGCCAGAATGACGGAGGGTGAGAAAAGCCGTAGCGATCTGTCACAGCGTTCAGTGCTACTCTCTGTTAGTTACACGTCTCTGACTAAACAGTGCTAAGGCTTCATCAGAGCTATTCACTCTGGTTCAATTATTCTCGGGCAGCTCTCAATTTGCCATTCACGAGTTGCTCCACCCGTCCTTGCACTGCCACTGAAGCGCTCATCCTCTTAAGCATCTGCATAGCTTGGAAGAAACTATCTTTTCCGAGGCACGTGGATCCCACACAAGTCACGAGGTTTTGTACATTTGGGAACTGGGCTACAGTGTTCAGTGTCTAATTAGATGGCCATGGGGAAAGGTGAAACAATTCGGGGAACTTGTCAGAGGATTCCTGCTGGGGGGTGAGCACTCAGCAGGTGCCAAAACGTACCTGCCTTTGTATGCTTGCCCTCTGTAGAGATAACAGCAGGTTTCCGGTGGCTAATCTTGGAGGTAATTGTTATGTTCTGCTAATGGTGACAATTATGCTCTTGTAGGAGGAGAAGCTGCGGGGTCCTGGCTCAAGAGGTGGCCAGTGCTAAAAGCAGGGCATGGAAACACTTTGGCAATTAGTCCAGTGGGAAGATTTAGTTTTATTGTATTTAGATGCCATACTGTTCCAGAATCCACAGATGAAAATAGACGTGTCCCCATTCTTTAATCAAGGGTCACTGACCTCCAAAGCCAAGGATCAGGGCAGAGTTCAAGGGCATCCAATGCCTGAGTTTGGTGTTTGCAGAGAACAGCAGTCCTGTACTATTTACAAAATTTTAATAGCTAGGAGCTGGAACATACCTTGCAAAACGTCTACCCGTAACAACACTGGTGACAATGCCCAGCTGTGTAGGATTGTGTGGACAATAGGCTAATTGTGGACAATAGGCGAAACACAAGCCAGCAATGCAATGCAACTGTCAAAAGAGCAAATGCTATTTTGGGATGCATCAACAGAAGTGTTGCTGCTAAACCATGGGAAGCAGTAGTTCCTCTCTACTCCTCGCTAGTCAGACCGCACCTGGAATACTGTGCCTAGTTCTGGGCACCAAGTTTTAAGAAAGATGCAGGGAAATTAGAAAGGGTCCAGCGGAAGGCAACAAAGATGATCCGGGGTTTGGAAACGCTGCCCCTGTGAGGGAGGAGAGACTGGGGGAACCGGACATGTTCAGCCTTGAGAAGAGAAGACTGAGGGGGGACATGATATCGCTCTAAGTACCTCCAAGGCTGTCACAAAGAGGAAGGCCAAGATCTTTTCTTACTAATGCCAGAATGTAGGACCCAGAATAATTCAAGTGACGGCAACCCAGATTCAGGCTGGGCATCAGGAAAAGCTTCCTCACTGTCGGAGCAATAGGACAGTGGAACCAGCTGCCTGGAGTGGTGGGGGCTTTCCCACACTGGAGACATTCAGAAAGAAACTGGGCAGCCCTCTGAGTGGGGTGGTGTGACTTGGTGTCCTGCAACAGCAGGGGGGTTGGACTAGATGGCCTTCCTGGCCCCTTCCAACTCATCTATTCTATGATTCTACGTGTGAGCATTTGCATGCAGATCCATGCAGATTTCTTGACCACTGTGCATGGAATAAAGCATGCCTGCAAAATATTGCTACCAAGCAAGGCCTCTGCCACAGAAAGTGATTGGAAAAAGAGGTTTACAATTGACAAACCGCAGAGGGTGCCAAAAAGACTCTTTGTCCGTTGGGTGCAGGCCAGCTCTGCCCCCTGTGACAGTGACAAACTTTTGCTTAAAACTTGCACTTTAGTTCTTGCTGCCAAGTGCATTTTGCTGTTACCACTGAGCACAAAAGGACAGCGAAGATGCAGCCATCCAAAATCTTCTGGGAGGTCACAGGAATTGGCGGAGTTCGTGCCTGGAGCTCCTGCGCCTTTGGTGCTCAGAATCCGAAGGCAAAGTCCCCATGTTTCCCTTACAGTTGCAAGTGGCTGCCCCAGGGGGAAAAGGGTTGTGTTGTGGGTCTGGGAGGGGCTGAGGCTGCAGGGTTGTGTCGCCTCCAGTTGTCATTCCAGCCTCACCTGACCCTAAATCTAGAACTCCAGACTTAGTCTGCCGGATATCATGCGGGGCATGAGATACAACAGTGGAAGAATTCGCTGTATCTTGTGCTTGGGTGCTCATAGGTGCCGAGATCAGAGGCTGGTGAGCGTTCACTCCAAAGGCCAAATAAAATTTCACCAACCAAGTCTCTGGCACAGCCGCTTTGTGCTAATTTCGTGTCTTGGCCTTCCGTGGAATTATTCTTACATTAATTTTCTGTATCACCCATACCCAAAGCTCTCTGGGAGGTACCCATCCAGATTTCAACTGGGCCCGATCCTGCTTGGCTTCCAAGATTGGGCAGGTTCAGGCTATATGAAATAGGAATAAAACGATTGCTATTGATTTGGTTTTGCTTTCGATTTGGCTTTGCTTTCTTTTCAGCACTGCTAGCCCATTTTTGGAGTGCTGTGCAAGTCTGAACTATTCCTTCTAAGCCACGGATGTCTGCCAGTGCATAGTTCATAGAGTGTGGTGGATAATAACTCTGTCCCCATGAGTAACCATTTTGGTTCTGGCACTGGTTTAGTCGATCACGGCATTTGGTAAAGCCCAACATGGAAGAGACTTGTGATGGCTTTACTAAAATAAAATCCGCCATCACGTTCGACACCCATGAGCCTCAAAACATGAGCATCTTGCCCAGATGGGGGTGCTTTTTGCTTTGCTTATTAAATTTCTTTATTTCACATTTCAAATTTATTGATTTGTAATTTAATAAGCCAGGATGGGGATCATGGGAGCTCACTTTTTGGAACCACATTGTACAGATTAATTTCCCCTTGTTGTGAATAGATTCGGAGTATGCCGTCCACATTTTTGGAAAAGGAAAAAGCATTCTCGTTTGTTTAATTTTAAGAATGGGTACTGTGCAGGCTGATGTGAGCGGCTCCGCTTCACGCAATGAAACAGAATTCCTGCCTTTCTGTGCTGGAGGGGCCCCTTCTCTCTGTACCCTTTCCCAGGCTAGGTGCTCCCGTATCCAGAGAAATCCTTTTGTGCCATGCCACTGACCCAGAATTCACCTCCTTTGGGGTTCCCATAGTAACTTCCAGGGATCTTGCTGCACCAGACTTGGGACGGACCAGTTGTATATGCAGATTGATGGCTCAGCAGGTGAACTTCTGCCCCTTGTAAGCTGTGAGTTATTCCACACAATACATTCCGTGTGGATGTTGGGAATGTCTGTGGGGAATAAATGGATGAAGGGGAACAGGGTGAATAAAGGTTGAACATTCCCCCCTCTCCCCGCTCCCCCAGTCTCTTGCAGTAGGTCCAGGTTATGGGTGAGCATCAGAAAAAACTTCCTGAAAGTTTCACAGAATCCTGGAAGAGTAGAGCTGGAAGGGGCCAAGAAGGCCATCTAGTCCAGCCCCCTGCTGTTGCAGGACACCAGTTCACACCATCCCACTTAGAGGGCTGCCCAGTTTCACCTTGAATGTCTCTAGTGTGGGAGAGCCCCCCACCTCTCCAGGCAGCTGGTTCCACTGTCCTATTGCTCCGACAGTGAGGAAACCTTTCCTGATGTCCAGCCTGAATCTGGGTTGTCACAATTTGAATTGATTTATTCCATGTCCTGCATTCTGGCTTCAGCAAGGAGAGATCTTGACCTTCCTCTTTGTGACAGCCTTTGAGGGACTTACAGAGGGATATCTTGTCCCCCCTCAGTCTTCTCTTCTCAAGGCTGAACATGTCCAGTTCTCTCTGTCTCTCCTCATAGGGCAGTGTTTCCAGACCCTGGATCATTTCTGTTGCCCTCCTCTGGACTCTTTCTACATTTTAATGAAAATTATGCTTGGTAGTCCCCCTGGCTTCTCAGGCATTAAAAATAATTAATTTTTTGCCCAGAATCTCCTGCTTAAGTAATCTGGACACATGTTTAACTAAGCTCTTGCTTTTTACTGGACTGATTCCAGCAATGAATGGACTAAGCACATCCACTGACAATATGTAATGCCTGTCTGACCATCGCAGCTGCTCACCGGTGGACCTATGCGTAGTATTATTGAATGCCATGGGACTTACTCCAGAGTAAACATGCGCAGGAGTGTGGTGTTAATTTCAAAGCACTTAATGGCTAGAGATGCACTTCCAGACATGGAATTGCAAATGCATTTCTTGCTAGCCTTTTGGAAAACTTCCAAGTGGAAGAGGTCCTGCTCAGAAGAGCTAGTGTTGTTGCAACTGTGGTGGCTTGGATTGTAACACTCCAATCTGAAGTGCTTCTCCTAGTGGTTGCAACTGTGGTGGCTTGGATTGTAACACTCCAATCTTTCCTCCTTTCCCCTGTATTCCCTTTAATGTTCAGAATCAGCACGAAGAGATCAAGAAGCAGTTACTTGATCTGCAGCTGCAACACAATGGGCTGAAACTGGAGCACCGCAAAGCTGTGGAGGCCCACAACCAGAAGTACTCCCAGCTGCAGCGGGAGAAGGAAAGCGAGGTGGTGGGCTTGCAAGGTAGGTGGAAGAGCTGGGCAGACCGAGTGCCCAGAGTGAGCGGCTTGCCCAGGGCCACATCGCTGATCGACGGCGCAGACAAGCTTCGGAGCGGTGGGCCTCCTGATCTGTGGACTCAATTTCTTAGCCGCGGCTCTGCGGCTCACTGAAGGAAAGTTGCAAGCGTGTCTTTTCTGTTCAGTGGATAGTATTGAGGAATGCCACAAATTGCCTGTGAGGCAGGCTTCTGGTAGGAGGAAAAGATGCAATGCTTGGATTTAGACCAGTTCTTAAAATACAGGAGCATTGCCCTGCGGCTGGTGAACTGTTTCCTGAGGGAATTATTTGCAAGGTGCTGGATTAGCTCGAACGTTTCTGCATGTGCCTCCATTTCCGAAACCAAGTGCCTCTTTTCGGTTCTTGTTTTTTGCAGATACGGTGCACAAGCTGAGAGAGGAAAGTAAACTCCTTCGGAAAGCTCACCAGGATGTTCACTCACAGCTCCTCAATGCTCAGGTAAGCTCCGCGGATGCTGCCTCCAGAGTTTTTGGACCACTGCTCCCATCGCCCATGACCATACTGGCCAGGGATGATAGGAGTTGTAATCCAAAGCACCTAGAAGGCACCGCGATGGGGGAGATGGGTCCAAGCGGTGTCTCATTCTAGCCAAAATGCTCCATCCCAGCCCTGCCCCAGCCTCAGACTGCAGAGAGGGTGACCCATCTTTTGGTGCTGTTTTGAGGACTGTGTCATCAAGCTTTCTAGCTCTCAAACAGCATGTAGGAGGGTGTTCCGGGCAGTGGGTGCCACTGCTGAAGAGACCCTCTTATATTCTGTAACTTGAGGACACTCTCTTGGTCATGGAATGACCGGGAAGGCCTTCCAGGTAGATCCCAAGGGTTGACGAGGAAGATGGCCAGCTAGGCAGAGCTCATGGCAAAGACACAAAAATGGGAGTTGACTAGATAGACTGGGTACTTCTACATTCCCGGAAATTTGGTCCAGCCAAGAAACTCAGAAGACTTTGGACGTATCTCTGAAAAGCACTGCCTGGACCTGCAGGGTTGTTCCTTGGGTCCAAGACACGTGTTCCCTCCCCACTGCTCCCTGTTCTTTGATTCCTGTTCCCAGGTCCAAATGGAAGAGTTCAGGCAGCTCAAGGAGACCCTGCAGAAGATGCCGAGTTTCAAGGATGTGGGAATGGGCAAAGGGCAGCCGAAGCAGCTGGCCAAAGAGCAACGTGCGGCAGGATTCGGGCTGCTGCAGCTTGCCCGACCTAAGGTAAGCTGTCCCTTCTCTCACGCTTCCCAAGCCTTCCCACCTTGGCCCCCGCGAGCCCCAGGGCAGCAGTCCGAGCGCTGCTCTGCACCTGCTTTCTCCAGACCGCTTTGTCCGTCTTCTTCCTAGTCCTCCATGGGCAACGAAGCCAGAGCCCCGATGAGCCCCCCGGAACAGGCTGCGGCTGCTGTCCCAGAGCACCCCTTGGGCGCCCAGTTCCCCGACGTTAAATACCAGAGAGGAGAAGTCCTTCACGAAGGCCAGGTTCCACACAGTGACACTGGGCCGTTCGGCGAGCAGGGCCCGGCCCGGGAGGCGCATCTGCAAAGGGATGGGCCCATCATCCGATTCACGAGGATGGTGAACAGCATACAAAGCGCGAACCAGGTAAGAATATTTTCCAGGTCCCCCTTCTGAGCGAAAGCGAGCGGTTCTGCTTGAGTAGAATTCTTCGCCCCCTCCAAAGCAATCTGGCTTGCATGAGGGTTCATTTCCTGTTTGCTCCCTGCACCCCTTTCCCCAGGACGGTCAAACCAGTTGTATCTGGTGCCTTGTGAGAGTTATAGGCACCAGTGTAGGCATGTTTTGATAGAGGAGAAGGTCTGCAGGCATCGATATGACCCAGGCAGCCATGCTGTTATTTGCTGGCATGTAGCAACAGCGACATAAACTGTTCCAGGATTCCTTTTGGCTGCGGAATAGGCTAAAGTGCTTTAAATAAATAAACACATAACCCAAACTGTCATGAAAGGCATGAGACTTTCAATGCCAAAAATCAGTGGAGCTCCAAAACAGAAAAACAAAATTTCTTTCGGACTTACGATTTGAGATTCTTTTTGCTAGAGATGACCTTTCTTGTGTTCCTCACATCCTGTTCCTTTCTTCCTGGGGGGAGCCTAGAGAGGCTAACAAAATGAGCCAAATGTATAAGTTTGCACTTGAGAACAATTCCCGTCCACATGGCAGTTCATCTTGGGGGGATAACAGTCTCACTTTCTCTCTATTTCCAGTGTACAGGTGTGAGTATCATTGGGTCTTACTGGTTCTAACCACTGCACCACACTGCCTCCGCTACTGCTGTTCAGGTGTGTCTTTCCTTTTCTTTCCTCCATAGGATGAAAAGGCAATGCAAAGCATGCTGAGGGGAAGTGAGGAAAGCTTGCATACTGAAGCAATGGCCCCTGACTTCCAACCCCCACCTGCTTCCGACGGGGCGCGGGGTTTAGATAAGCAGCTATCTGTGGGGGAAAAGCGTGACCCCGAAGTGCAGAGGTATGTATGCATTGCTGAGGGGTTGATGGCAGCTAGCTTGGTGACTCTCGGGGAAACCTCCATCCCATGGGCCTGGCTGTTGTTCATCTACCTATTTGTCTATTTTATTTCTATACTACCCAATAACCAAAGTTCTCTGAGCAGTTTACAATTCATAAAATGCATAACATAAAATACGATAACAGCAAAAACACCACATTGAACACAAATGGAATTTAAACCACTTTAAATACTAAGACGGATTAATACAATTAGACCTCTTCATAGATTTCCCCTCCATCCCCAGCTTAGAACGGTTACATGCCTTGAAATAAGGGACACTGAAAGAAGAGGAGGGTTGCTTCCAGGCTGGCTGTGGTGGGAAAGTTGTTCCATTCTTGGGGGCTGCCACTTGGAAGAAGCATTTCCTTCTTGCCACCAACGGACTCTGTCTTGGACGGGCAGTCAAAGGAGGCCCTCCAATGCTGGACATCTTGGCCACGATCATTCTGGCAGCTTGATCTGTTTATGATCTGTTTACGCCTTTGCAACATTTGTCCAGGGCTGGAGGAAAGTGTAGGACTCACGCCCTGCAACTGGATGCTCCCAAGCACCTGAGCTCTTTACTCAGCTGCTGAGGAATATCTCCAGCCATTCAGACTGCTCATGAAAGTCAGTGGCTAAGACTTGGGTTTCCGAAGAAATGCAGTGTTGGTTTTCTTTTAGAAATTGTAGCTCCCTGCATGTCTGGGCACATGCTGGATGGGGACTGCAGGCTGAGAAGCAGAGTCTGACCCATCAGTGGGGCCCTTTTCCAGCCCAGATCAGCCCTCTGACCTATTTGCTCCCAAAGGCAGAATGTGCCATGACTGCCTCTTTGCCCTAAAGTTAGTGGGGTCAAAAAATATTGGGGGGATGGCCCCCACTGCAGGGCCAGTTTGGATCCCATCCCTGTAACACTGCAAGGTCTAATGATGACTCTTGGAAAAACCATCCCATGGGAAAGTGTTGTCTGTTCCAGGCCCTGGGGGCATGTGGGGATGATGGGAAAAGGTACCGCAAAGGACACAGCAGCACTATTGTAGAATTGGTAGACAAACATCAGGCTGTGTGCGAACAGAGTTTGTGTATGCTGGGGTGGGACAAGCCCTTTCCGAATCCGTCCATCCCGAATCTGGTCCTTCAAAGTGGCCTGAGCCAATGAGGAGTCCAGGAACACGCTCAGGTTCCGGGTTGTGCATGCGGCAACCTTCCCCGACAGGAAGCGCAAGTGGGCACGTTGGCTGCTATTTCTGGGGGTGAGGTTCTCCCCATTTGCTCGTGCCGGCCGCGGTGGGGGGCCTGGAAGAACGGCAGCCTTCATGACCTGCCTGGGGCTCAAATCGTGGCGGGCCCCTGGTGAATCAGGGCCCTTGCCAGGAGCTTGGACCGGGGGCTGCTGTGCTCAGCACAGGGTTGTCTATTCTGTGTTATAGTTGTTCATCTTGGCTTTGTTGGTATTCTTGTATAGGCTGCTGGGGACTTGCTGTGTTGCTTTAATGTTTGGTTATTTGTGAACCGTTCCAAGAGCAACATGCTGAGGAAACAGTATATTTGAAAACATAATTAATAATAATAATAGAATCTGGGCAGCTGAAACCAGTGGATTTTCTGCATAAGATGGATTCCTCACACATCCTGTGTGTGTGTGTGAAGGTGTTCTGGTTTTGTGACGATCTCCGGTATGTTTGCTCCTTTCTCATTAAGAGGCGTTAAGCTGAATGTTGGAAATGTTGCTTCCTCATGCTTTCCTCTAATTAATCAGTAATCTGTCAGGCTCTGTGGGAAAAGTCCAAGCAGCGAAAATGTTTGTCTTTTCCCTTTTCAAGGTTATAGGATAATTGGGAAGTAGCAGGTAAGGAGGAGACAACTAGAAAATGAACAGGTTTGGAACTTTTTCTCAGAACATCAGTAAAGCTGGGAAAGGAATGTGAGATTGATTTTCTTTACAACTGCGATCACCCTGTATAGGCTTTTCGGTGTGGATGTCATGGAAACCACCAGTCCCCAAAGTATCTGCTTTCATTTAAAATGACAAGTTTCTAGTCCTCCTGGTGTGCTTTGAGGAGGAAAAGCAGAATGTTATGGCAATCTGGTTGATTGGAGACTCTGCTCAAGGGTAGATGGGAAATAAATGCTCTACGGCTTAAATTTTGGGGTGGGGGGATCGGAAGAGTGTAGAATGACCCTGGTTCAATCCTGGCATTTCCAGGGAGGGCTGGGAGGGGTCCTTATTTGGCACCCTGGAGGGCTGTGACCAATCTCTGGTGTAAACACCATGGAGCTGGAAGAGGGACCAAAGCTCTCACTTGGTTTAAAGCAACTGCCCATCCAAAGATATGGAATTCGTAGGAGCAGGGAAATGATGGAAAAAGTGAAAATAAATTTGAAAGTCTTTGGAGGCCTTTTATTGAATATATTTTAATAAACAGAAAGGGGAGTGAACCACCGCAAGAGTCATTGCAGTTCTGGAAGGGAAGTGAGGCAACCTGGATGAATATATCGTCTTACATTAAGTATCCAGAGTTGTTGGTCCTGATGGAGGTAGCACAGATATTAATGGATTGTTTAATTATGCTAGTCATGCTGGATTCTAATGATTGTTACTACTTTGATTGCATTGTTTTGTTAGTTTAAAACAAATTGAAACATTGAACATTGAACATTGAATGAAAAAAGGAAATGCTCATGATGCTCCTGTTATTTCTGCTGCAGCTGGCAAGATATTGTACACAAAGTCCATGTCCAGATGGATGAGGAACAGGCCTCCTTGCTCCCAAAGCTGCCTTATTCCCAGCGCCTTGACCTGGGTGCCAGGCCTGGGCAAGTGATGGCAAATGGCCATCAAGTCCTGGGCGGTGGGCAGCAGAGAGGAGGCGAGCAGCAGCAGCCAGCCGACTGGGGAGCCAGGAAAGGTGGAGCGGATGAGGAGGAACTGCAGATGGGTACGTCTTCTGGGTGGGAGAGTGGACCTGAGGAGGAGGTGACTCCCTGGCTTTGGTTTTCCTCGTTGGCAGCAGAGGTTTCTGAAGGGCCGCGGCGCCAGCTTTCTCTGGGGTAGTCGGATCCAGGCCAGACTCCCTAGGTGGGCAGGCAGTCCCTGGGAGTAACCAAGATGTAACCAAGCGGGAGGGGATTTGGAGCTGGGAAGTTTCTCAGACACAGACGAGGCAGCCCTGGTTCTAAAACCCATGAGACGTTGTCAGCAAAGGGGGGCAGCCCAGTTTGAGAATTGCTGTGCAGAGAGGAGGTGTGCTCATAAGGAGAGTTTCTGGAGGCGAATACTAGATTGAGTTCAAAGAACTGCTCTGTGCATGCTCAGAGATTCATTCCAGGTGTTTCTGCATCTGGAAAACACTTCGGTCAACAAGACAACAAGTTTAGTAAGAAAGGTGTGTGAAGGGAGCATCCCCAGCTTGCAACACTGAAGAGAAAGCCCACACGGAGACCTGCTCCACAGCTTTGCAAAAGTTCCATGTGACAAAGGAGAATTTGTAGGTTATGGGGCAGCATAGAAATAGAATTACATAAAGGACCTTTCTCTGCTATTTATTTAACAGCCCCAGGAAGCTCTTCCAGGAGGGGTGGAATGGACCCCACACTGCAGGTCTACATAATTCTTCGTTGGCTTTGGCTCTCTGCTGAGACAACATCCTCCTGTGTCCCAGTAGGAGAGTATCTCAGTCAGGAAGACCCACAGAGAACTATTCAAAGTCCTTTCTCCTTGCCTTGGTCTGACTCTCACCATATGCCACCAATTTCCTTGCCGGCTTTAAGAAACTATAGTTCAGGACACTGGGTGAGGCTCAAAAGCAGATTTTGCAGTATCTAGGGCCATAAAAAACACATTCATGTATATGATTTAGGGAGCTATTTTGTAAACTTATATTCTGCTTTATTGGCCTGAGGGCCCTGCAGGTGGATTATAGGAAGATAAAAACACATCATGACAATGAAAACAATCAGCTATAACACAATAAGCAAAAAGACCATAAAACCAAACAGTACACAGTTGAGGGCTAACAATTCAAAACTGTATAGATTAAAACAGACTTGCTAATATTATCCGGATTAGATCAATCATTACAGTGCCTAGATAATAAAGTTACTTGCATCTGGCACCAGAAAGATTGTAACAAGGGCACCAGGGAGGTTGTTCCACAGGTTGGCTGGGAGTGAGGAAAAATCACACCTGTAAAGTCTTGGATGGTACCTTTTGTTGGTTTGTATATTTGTTCAGGTATTGAATGGAACCATAATGAAAGAGCTCCACTTGTTGGCCCATCCCAAAGGGTATGGGGACAACATGTCATTGGGGTCAGTTCTTTGGCCCCCACCCACCCAGATGAGATGGTTCCACTCCTCCCACATTAGGCTTCAGTGGGGGGAGGCTGGAGAGCTTGACCAGTGCTGCTGGGACTGGATCTGGCCAACTTCCTGGGGCAGTAGAAAGTAGCCAGCCAGTACAAGGTGGCTGTTGTGAAGGGAAGCTTGGCAGCCCACCAAAGGCTTGCGTAGGGGAAAGAAAACATGCTTTGTTAGGAATGCGAACAGCTTTGCCCTTCCCTGCAGAGAGCCACAGCTGGTTCCAGTCCTCAGCTTTAATTTGACCCACTTTCAACAAGCGCCCTTCGAGGACGGTATTAATTGCCTCACATCAAAGCCAAATCCTGCAGAAAGGAAGGGGTTCCCAGCACGGAGAGCCTGATCGCCATGTCTCTAATTTGGATTAATACTGAAGGAGAGGCTTTCTTGCCCCTGCTACGAAGCTATCTAATTGGGAGACTTGGGGCTTATTAGGCAGTATTTCAAGGGGGGAAGGAAAACACAGATACTTCTACCAGCACAAAAACACAGATGGAGCTTCACCCGAGTGGTCGGGTGCCTGAGTTGCATGTGGAATGTCCTGGCTCAGTTAGATGCCATGGAATGGTTCAGGGTCCTCAAAAGCCAGTTTGGAGCAAGGGAGCGAAAAGTCATGAGCCCGGGCAGCTTCCCGGGATGCAGAAGCGCAAGCCCAGCACTTTCCCAGGTAGCCATGCTCCCTTCCCCCCAGACACTGACTGGCAGCCATTTGGGCAGCTATTGTGTGAGTCCACCCATGCTGCTCGACTTCCAAAGTTGCCCAGTGGCTCAGGATGGCTGGGGACCCTTCCTTGAGGCGCTGTCTGTGTAGGACTACTCAAAAGAAAAACATGGAAGGAGTGGAGAACGTTGATCCATCTCTCCCTCTTACCGCTGCTCCAGAGAGAGTGGGCAGGTGAACAGACAGACTTCACCCAGGAGGCACTGGAGTATGTGGACTTTTGCTCGTGTCCGGATAGAGTGACCCCAAATTCTGTCCCTGACTGTGATTAAGGAATGCTGGTGAATCCCCCCCACCTACCCCTTTTACTGGGGTAGCTACAAACACAGGATGGGATCAGATGAATGTAGATGAAGTCTAGTTGAGCGGCAGAATCAGGTCTCAGTAGGCGCCCTCCAGTCAAGGTAGATAAGTCAAGGCACGACAGAGGCAACAGCAAACCGCCTGAAACAGCCGAAAACAGGACCTTGGACAGCTCCAAGCTGGGCCTGCTGTCTAGCTGAAATGCTCTAATAAAACAGGAGGACGTTGTCTCAGCAGGGAGCCGAAGCCAACTGATGCCTTATATCAGATGGCAGAAAGTGTGTTGTAGTCAGCTCTGCTCTCCCTCTGCAGAAGCTCGCTGTGCTGTTAAAAGATAATCACTGCAAGGCTGGGCTGAGGAAGTCTCTGCTTGGGGATTCATCCTCTGATGGATGTGTCCTCTGGTTTGGAGTGCTCTGAATAAGGTACTGACCATCCAGCACGCAAGGAAGCCATGTGTGATTTGTCCTCACGGCCGTCCTCTGGTGCATGCCAGGCAGTCCAGCAGTCATGAATAGTATCGGTGAGGTGCATGGCCTCCATGCTCTGAGGAGTGTAAAGGGCTGTGTTTTTCAGTGCAGGGGCACCAAGATTCCATTCATATTTCTGCCTTGTGCAACCTGAGAACTCCTTGGTTTTTTTTCCTTAATTTTTAAAAAAATTATTCCACTCCCATGCTAGATGAAGTACTGTTTTCACCTGTTCCAGATCAATTATCATTCAGTGGGTAATTCCAACATCTAACATTATGAGAAGAAGAAAAGGGAAGTTCTCTGAAGCCTTATTTTGAGATACTATTCATCTCCCCTTTCTTATTTTTTTAGACAGAAAAAAAACCAAATACAATCACAACAATAATAATTATAACAACAAGAACATAATAATTAAAAAAGAATAAATGAAAGAGTGCACCCATCACCCCGGAGACCAATACTACCCTCATACACATACTATAACAATTAATAATATATAATATACTTCAATTATACCCATATCCTCTCCAGAAATTCACCTGAGAATGCCTTATGAAAATGACTGAGTGATCCAGGCCAGCCTTCCCTGATGGGTGCAACTCTAAGTTCCATCATACCCTGCCAGGCTGTTTACCTGTGGGACAGCAGGAGCTGGATATATGGAAACAGACAAGCTACAATGCTCAGGAGTCTATCTTGCATTGTTTTTCCTCAGATGCTGGCATGATTGAGCGAGAAGACCATTCACCCCCTCGGAAGGAGACACTCATGCAGCATCCGAACGTAAGAAGAGGGGAAGCTGGGCTTTCTTTCTGCTTGTAGTGGGAAGTCATTCGTCAAAAGGGACTTGTCTTCCCCTTAGGTGCCTGGGGATGTTGGAGATCCTGCCCAGGACCCTAACAACCAAGGGGAAGATGAATTCGAGGAGGCAGAGCTGGAAAGACCAGACTTCGAAGAGAAAGCGGGCCAGGCTGACCAAGTCCGTCAAACCAAGGGGCCAGCCAATGAGCCAACGAAGGAAAAGACCCAGGAGGTACCCATTTTGGTGTGTGTTTGCGTCTGCACATAGGGCCAGGTTTGGAGTCTCACAGTGAAAGATATAAAGAATTTACACTAAGGGGCAGTGTGGTACAGTGGTTAAAACTGCAGGACTGGGACTTGGGCCTAGGTTCCATTTATCTATTACCCGAGGAGTTACTGCCATAATAGTTTTGTCCAATGTTGACATACGTGGCAGTGGTAAGACGGAGACTTTGGCTTAGAGATTCTGCTCTCTAACATAAGATTTTAGTTGTGGCCCTTCCTCAGGGAGTTCAGCCAGTAGGATCAACAGCTAATAGTGAGTGCTCATAAATACTTGTGACTATTAACGTAAATATCCCAGCTGAAAGGAGCTTGGGTTAGGGCTCCTTCCCCTTTTATCCTTGCAACAGCCCTGTGGGGGTGATCGTAACAATCCAGATGTCGCCAGTGGGTTTTTGGGGGATCTGTGAGTCTGCACCCAGCTGCCCTCACCTTAGTCCTAGCTGCTGTTTCACCCAGATCCAAACCACTCTCCCTCTTCTTATTTCACAAGAGGTTTGGGGCTTTGGCTCCTGCGAAGGCCCAAAGCAAACGGCAGTTTCCAAAGATCTGTTTCCTAGCATGCGTGTATGTGATCTAACTTGGATATTATCCCTTTCTGTTCTTGGCTTTTTTCCTAGGATGCAAAAGGGCCCAGGAAAATGGCAGATGATCCAATAGATGATTATCAGGAAGACCAGGAACAAGATCTTGTATGAAGCTGTCTGTCTGTCTGTCTGTCTGTCTGTCTGTCTGTCTGTCTGAACACACTTTCAAGGAAATGGCTAATGCTGCTTGGAACTTTTAAAAACATCCTTGGACTTAAGCATTTAAAAGTGTCTTGCATTTAAGGCAGTCTTGCAAAACAGCCATTCTGTAGTTGCCTGTGGCAAGATCTCCGGGAAACTGAGTGAGGAATTTTTTGTAAATTGGAACAGAATAAGTTTCCCACTGTCCCGGAAGTCACTGATTCACTACAGATGGATGGGTGCTTGCAAAAGGGAACCTCCCACAGTTTAAAAAATACATGTAATTAAAATTACATTAAAGAGAATCACGGGATATGGAAAATATATAGTTCCTATATGATGCCTGGGTTTCTCGGCAGCCTTCCCTCAAACTGGTGCCCTCCAGATGGTTGAATTTCAGCTCCCATTGTCCCCAGCCAGCATGGCCAACAGCCAGGAATGCTGGAGGTTGTAGTCTAAAGACAGTAGGGGTGCACAGATGTTGCAAAATGGATGCAGTGTTTAGCAGATTGCCAGGTGTCTCTGCCTGCTCAGATTTAAGAATGTATGCTCATGCTAATTGGTACTGATGCAACTGTGGGGTCATTCCAGATTCAGGGAGCCACCACAGAGAAGGCCCTCCCTTGTGTTGCCCCCCCCCCTCCAAAATTTAGGTGTTCTGCCAGGGATTGTGGTCCCAAGCCATGTCCCATGGCTGCTAATGTTGGGAAAACAACAACCTTGGAAGTGATTTTGGAAGAAGCTGTGCATATGTGCACAAGCAGGTCAGAAGCAAGAGTGTCAGGGTACAATATTCCCAGCCTTGGCAAGATGATGGGTTGGGAGTAGTTATGTATTGGATTTATATCCAGCTTATTTCTTATGAACTCAAAGTGGCTTCTAGCATTCTCCTCCACCTGCTCTCCATCCTTTCCCCACAACAACCCTGCAAGGTGGGTAGGGCTGAGAGTCTGCGACTGGCCCAAAGTCACCCAGTGAGCTCCATGGCTGAGCAGAGGTTCGAACCCGGCTCAAGCGAATCCCAGGCCCGCACTTATAACCACTATGCCACACAGGTTCTTGCCAGAATACGGCTTTGTACCCCGTCCACTTCACTCTGCAGGCCTGTTTGGGTTCCGTCCAGCAAAGGGTCATGGGGTCATTGTTGCAAAAACCGCCCAAAGCTGGGAGCCAAAACAGCCAAGCCCCTGCTGGATCCAGGTGGGACCCAAATCCCCTTGCCCACCGGGTGACAGAACATAGTGAAGCTTTCTTCTCCATGAACACGTTGAGGATTGCAATCCAGACTGCTTTGCTTGCTTGCTTTTTGTTCTTGAACAAGAGCAGGAAAAGGAGCTTGGGAATTTTTTTTTTTTGTTAAGTCCTGAAATGAATGTCCTGGGAAATATGAAAAATTTACAAGCCCGCTCTGAAAGTGCGGTGTTACTGGGTGACAGGGAGGGGAGGGTATAGTTCGGAAGTAGGTCAGGGACGGGAACTGCCTGAGTTTGTTAGTTTGGGTGGCTTAATTGGGGTGGAAGGGAGGGCCGTCCATGCAGGGGGACTAGTGTTACTTCTTGCGTTGCTGGTGGATCAAAATTGTGTTCCCCATTGCTGTACAGTGGGTCGTGTTCACCACTGGGCTGTGTGGTCTGCCTGGCATTCAGTGCCCTGGAAATTGGGGGAAAGCTCAGCCGTGAGATCCACTCGGTAGCCATAGGCTGGTTGCCCTCTCTGAGCCCAGCCTCGCAGGGTTCCCATGAGAGTCAATGGAATGGCCCCATGATAAAGCATGAGAATGCAAGGAATCCAATGAACGAGAGGAGCCCACAACAAAAGGTTGCAGCGCGGAACAGCAGCACTTCAAGGAGAAAAAAACCCGAGCCTAGCTTTCTCCCCAGTGTGCTAGACTGAGGACGATACGCATCTCTTATGTATCATTGATGCTCTCCGGTCATTCTGGTTCACATCTCCGAAGAAGCCACATTTTTTTAAAGGGTGGGCTGTTGTGGCCAAGGTAGAAGTTGGTTATGCCACCTGCAAGCTGCTAGAGTTAAACAGCACTGTTGTTTAGCGTTGCATCTGAGCCTTGGACCTCTGGATTTTCTTCCCGCTGACGTGGCAGGGAAAGAACCCGTGTTTGCAGACACCTGCTCACAGGGGAAGGACCAGCTGGGACGCACCAGATGCACAATTAAAAACAAACGCCCGGTGGCTGAGCCATGCGAAGAGTTTGCTCACTTGACACTTCCTCCTCCGTGACCCTGTGTTTAATCTCATTCTCCATTGTCCCGCTTTTCCACCTGCCAACAGGAAGATCACGGAGGTGAGGTGGACGATGCGGATGATCTGGAACTGGTCCAGGAGCTTCAAAGCCACGTCGAAAGAGATGGCAGAAAGGATTACTACTGAGGGTGTCGATGGCTTGCCGAGAGATCGGAGGAGAACCTCGGTGGAAGGCCAGAGACTGTTACGGTCGCGGTGGAGTTGGATTCTTTGCTTGGGCCTGTCAAAAGGAGTTATCCCTGATTCTAGATGATCCCCAGTCACGGGGACAAAGTCTCTGCGTGAGAGTCTTGGGGAGGGCGTGTAAAGCAGACGGACTCCCTGAATGTCAGAATGTTCCTTCACAAAGGGGGAGAGGAAGTTCAGCCATTAGAACATTTAGATTGCTCTTTTGGTTTCTCCCCTTCTCCTCCTTGTTGCAGTATTATTAAAGAGGAATGACATTATCCAGTGGGCACTGTTTGCCTCGGGCTGCTTGCGTCAAGTTTTTCTTCTTCTGTTGTCTTGGACGCACCCAACTGCTCTTTAATGCAATGTCTGTTCAACTTTATATTAAAAAAGAGAACCCTTTTGATAAAGAGCTTTGTTACATCGTTGTCTGTTTTGTTATGGGTGAGAGGATGCCATGTTAGCTGCATTTTGATGATCAGAACATAAATGTGGCTCAGTGGAGACCAAAATGCAGTTTTGTTGTGTGTGCCAAAGCAGGCTTACTTAGAAGTAATAACTACTGATTTCAAAGGGATTTGCATGTATTTCAAAAAACCACAATAGGTTTGCGGTACTGTTTCTTTTCTTGACATGTAATTCACTCTCAAACTAATGTTTGACTTTCTGTTTTGAAGCCTGATTCAGTGCCTGGTGCCACGAAGGTAATAACATAGGTGCCAGGAAAACCATCCGGGGAAGAGCTTTCTGCAGTCATGGTGCCACCACTGAGAAGACCTTTGACTGGGTCACCATCCACCTTGGGCCTCCATGAAGAGCCTCCCACAGTGACCTCCACATAGGGGCAGGCCAGCCAGAGGTGACCCTTCAGGTACCGCAGTCTAAGGTGGGAAGGGCTTTAAAAAGGGCTTCAGATGTGGGTTACGTGGCCTTTGGATTTATAATTGTTACTTAGAGAGCAGTGCTGCCCTTTATTTGAGAAAAGGCTATCTGAAACTTCAAAGAGGTTATGCCACACCTTAATGGTTACCCAAAGAGGGACAAGTGATGGGCCCAAAGTTGTCACCTGGCCCAAAAAAAGGGTATGCCAGAGCTCACAGGAGCTGATGGTACACCTGTTCTGAACAAAATCATTCTGCGGACAGGTGTGGCTTTCTAGGGCATATAGGCCAATCACAAATGCCCGTTCTCCTCTCATTGCTTTTACAAATATTGCATCCTTTTCTGGAGAAAGTCAGTGTGTTGAGGAGCCAAGATCAAAGCCTATTTCTGCCTTGTCATAAAGGTGATCTGAGCAAGCTTGAAATTCAGATTGGCCAGTGCTCAATGTATTTCTGTTTGTTCATGTTATCAGGCTTGGGAGAGGGTTGTTGTGATGTGCTCAGCCATCAGGAGCACAGAATTGGTTGTGAAGCACGGACTGAGCTCTCCAGGGAGGTGGTGATGGAAGAAAAAGGTGTTGGACTCACAATGGAAGTAAATTATGAGGCGTCCCCATAAGATCATTTAGTTCTTGGTCTAAAATAACTCGCTGCACACCGCTGAATGTTTAGTGGCGGCTAAATGCTGACTGTCTCTCGCTGGCAGGGAAACGAAATGGAGTATTGTGGAGAAGACATGGCTGGCTGGCAGGCTGGCTGCCTGGCAAGAATCCCGAACAGAAACCCTTCATGCTGCAACATTGTCTTGGGTCCGTTGGGACAGACCCTTTCCATGCATTGCCAAAGCTGTAGTTCCTGGACAAATGGATCAGGGAAAGGAATTGGTTACAGGAGGGCTTCAAGGGGTAAATGTTGTCCAGCAAGGCCACAGGATCATCTCCAGTGTGTCCAGATGACATTACTTTGCCGTTCGTGGATGCTGGGATTTCTGGTCTCCAAGCCACAGCCTGAAGCTGAGGAAAGAGACCCAGGCCCTTTGAAAAGAGAAGCCCTCAGCTAAAGGGCGATGCAGCTAAGCCGCCGCGGGAACGCCAAAGCCATGCTTAAGGCTCTGCCAGCATCTGCTGCCTGTTGGAGCAGTGTACAAATGAGCCTATCTTGCCTTCATTTCCAGCAGCATTCCCATGTGCTGTGTGCTGCCTCAGGTTCTAGTTCACCTAGGAAATTGGCTCAGGGGGAATCTGCTAGATGTGACTTGCCCAAAGTCCTCACAGTGCCAAGATGTATGTAGGCCAACAGGCACCTTCCCTTTCTTGCTGAGCGGCCAAGTCTCATTCCCAGCAGCTTCCCCGGTCGGTGCTCTGTGGGGGCAAAGTGAGAAAATAGGAGGTTCTAGATTCAGCCTTTTGTAGTTGGTCCAGGATGCGGGGAGATGCTTAAGAGGGAAGATGTGGTGGGCCCTCCATGCTGACGTCCAAGGAAGCTGGTTGCTCGTGCCATTCCTGGCAGCAGCAGGGTAGTTGTCTTAAGCTCTGCCCTTTTAAACGATGATTTCACGTCTCCCGTCTCTTGCTGTCTGCCATAAATAGCACTTTCCAAAGAGATTAATCACCTGCTAATTAATCCGCCGGGCCACACGGCAGTCAGTTTTTCAACAATGTCGCCCTTTCACCAGACACTGTGGTGATCCAAGCTGACAGGGTCTGGGTTTGGCACGGGAGCTTCCTGTCGAAAGGCTCTGTTGAGAAATGAGTTGTGGAGGTGGATTTTGCACTTGAAATCTGGCTCCTTTCCTCCCAACGGTCTTGTACATGGGTGAATCCTGCTGGAACATGTGCACAGAGCTATTCTCCAAGGATGGTGACGAAGACACGGTAGATACACAATTCCAATCAACCTAATAAAACCATCTTCCCTGATGCAGGGTTTTCAGATGTGGTGGGCCACAACTCCAATCATCCCCAGCTACACTGCTGCATACTCCAGTGCTGGCTGCAGCCAGGGGTATCTTTGCCCAGTTTAAGCTGTCCGTGTGGTCAGACCCTAGCCTTGGTTAGGCAGACATCGCTTCTGTCATTGTCGTGAGCCGAGATTGCCCCTTCAAGCAGTCAAAACCATTTTCCTTGCAAACCATTTGTTATTGCTCACCCAGAATGGATCTCTGAGCATGCACAGAGTGGCTTGTTAAACCCAATCTAGTGTTTACCTCCAGGAACTCTCCTTATGAACATGGCTGAGCCCCATCCCCTTGGGCGGGGGGGCTTCCTTCTGAAGGTAAGTACGCTTCCTCTTAGCACACCGCGCCTTCAGTTGGGCCTCCCCTGCTGATGCCTTGTCATGGGGGGTTTGGGCTGGCCTGCACCTGAGAATTCCTCATCCTCAGAGACGCCTCCTACCAGCTCTACCGCTTGGGCATTCCAGGAACTGCCTGGCTCAGCGGAGCATCTGGCCTTGAGATAATCACCTGCTCCTGCTGCTGCTGCATCTTAGAATCAAGCCCATCCTCCCCAGTCTCGCTGAAATACATTTCACTTCGCAAATCATCTGAAGTGCAGCCAGAAGTCTGGGGAACCCATCCAATGCCTAATGGGCACGAGTGAAACACTGTGAAACCCTCTTGGTTGAGCTGCCCTTCAAAATCACACTTGTGTCCTTGCAGATTTGTGTTGTCACAAAGATTGAGTCCAAGGCCAGGTGGTGAGAACATGCAGTCCACCCTCTCATGTCGTTTGACGGACTTGGCTCTCCCATTAGGTCCTCCTGGACGACCTGCTCCAGCTGGAGCTGAGTTTGCCCGGACTCTGTTGTGCTCTTGCTGCAGTGGGATTGTTCTCACGGCCAGGATTCCCAGGATCCAGGGTGGCCTACGCTTACAGCTATTGACTTGCTATCCTGGAGAGGGGGCTGAGAGTGTTTGGTCCAGCTTCTTTACTGATTTGGGCCTCTGGCTCACCTCAGACAGCCGCTTGGGGCCCAACCATGAAAGGAGATGACATTGCAAGCCTCAGGATGGGAGACATTTAGCTGCTGTTCTCCCAAGCAGGATCCAGACCGATCCATCCCCCATTTGTTTGCTTTTGGCATTGGTGAAATGCTTCTGCTAAGTTCCATTTTGCAAGGCAATCAAACCAGTCAGTCCTAGAGGAGGTTGACCCTGACTGCTCTTTAGAAGGCCAGATCCTGAAGATGAAGCTCAAATACTTTGGCCACCTGATGAGAAGGAAGGACTGCCTGGGGAAGAGCCTGATGCTGGGAACAAAGAAGGGGGTGGCAGAGGATGAGGTGGCTGGATGGAGTCACTGGGGCAGTTGGTGTGAGCTTAAGTGGACTCTGGGAGATGGTGGAGGACAGGAAAGCCTGGAGGAATGTTGACCATGGAGTCATGTTGGGTCAGGCATGACTTTGCAACCAAACTAAACCAGTTCCATTTTGAAGAAGACCTGTGGGACTGCATTCCAGTCCTGGGTGGGGCTGAAAGCAGAGAAGATGAAGCCAGAAATGCAAAGGAACAACACCCATAGGGTCTTTTAGCTTAAAGCTCTTGCTGGTAGTAACACAGCCTTAGGAAAGGCTTTTTAACTTTAGGAGTGGGGAAAGAACTGTGTGAAGGATGTGAAAATAGCAAGCAATGGGTTGTTGGGGAAACGGGTGGTACCCCTTCTGCCTGCAGGTCTCCCACAGGGACTTTTGGGGTGTATGGTTGCAGGAAAGGGAATGTGGGGATGGTCTTCTGGTGACCTGAACTGAGAATCCAGCCTTTTGGTTCTTCACCTCTGTGCTTGGCATTGCAGAGTCTAAATTTGTGCTCAGGACAGAAAGAGCTTTAAAAAAACAAAACACACACACACACACATATTAGCCACACCAGTTCTGAATTTGGAAGTGGAGGGTTTGGTCGGCAGAAGTCTCGGGTCTGAGATCCACTGTGCAGTTGCTTTCTAGGACCACCTTGTTTTTCCCTACACCGATTCTTCCCAGTTTGTCACCATTCGCAGCAAACCGTCGCCTTCTTCAAATATCGGCTGCAGCAGAGCCTTTTCTAAGCACAGAGGAGAACAGTAGCACTAATCTGGTTGGCTCTTTCGTCCCCGTAGGGAAGCAGTGCCCGTGTCTGTTCGAACTGGATGTCTCCAGAGCTTGACCCAGGTTCGATGCTTCTTGACAGCTGACGATTTTTCAACTGCACTGCTCGTCAGCTGGAGGTGAACCAAATGTTAAGATGGAGCTCAGCAGCCAGACCTTTTTCTTCTTCTGGTTCAGAAGTGAATGGGATTCCTAGAACAGCTAGGGAAGCAGCAGAACGGGGGTCACAGTCTGGGATGGACAGGAAGCCATGGGATAGTCAGACCTGCGGAAGTATCCCAGCGTTGAGGGAGGTTTGGAAACCCAACAGGGCTCAGCTGAAGTAGGAAGTCCTTTTGCGCTACCTCCTTTCAGGGGGGCTCCAGGGGGTGGGCTAGTCCATGGCCCCTGAGGGTAGCCTCCCTTCCGTAGTTCAGCGGCTTGCCACATGGGGGAGCTGTGCATAGGTTGTAGCAGCTCTGGACAGGTATTGGAAAACCACTCTGGGTCCAAAGAGGCACCTGGACGAGTTCACACAGGGCATCTTTGAGCCTTGGGCTTCGGCAGCAGTGACTCCTCCTCCGTGGCTTCTGGAGCTTGGCATTGCACATCCGAATGGGGCAGAGGGCCTAGGAGCTGGCTGCTCCTGCATCTTCATTTGCAAATATGAGAACGGAAGTTGCCGGTTTAGGCCAACGTCCCATCTTGTCAGTGGCCAGCAAGGTGCCCAGCAGGGGAGGAAAGCCGCCCAAGGGGAAGGTCCTTCTTGCTTGGTGCCTGATCCCTTTTTGCAGAGAAAACCCAGCTGGGACCCAGGACCTCTGACACACCCAGCAGGCCGGTGAGGGAGGGAGAAGGGGAAAGACCAGGTCTGTGGAACAGTTGGCTTGGCTTAGCAAGCCTCCAGTGTCGCATTCGACAGACCGTGTTCTAAATTTGGCTTCGGGCGACCAAGGTGGCCCTTCCCCTGGCAACGTGTCCCGAAGGACTGTTTGTGGAGGACTCGCTGTCCCCGGGCCACTCTTGCACGGCAGGAGCAGCCAAGCACAAGCTGGGCCCGGGCACTGCCATTTGTCAAAGCAGACGCTGCAAGAAGTAACGTTTTGCTTGGGTAATGCGCTTTTCACTTAATCATTCTCTTTCTCTCTCAAGACGTGTGCTGAAATCTGCCGAGCCAGGGGGTGAGGAATATGAATGCACAGAAGGTCTCTGGTCCAGCGAGAGCCGCTTTTTGGAAGCCCCATGAGGGGATGCTCTGGTGATACACCTTGTCCTCGTCTTCGCAGCTCTGATCAAGATGTCTGTAAGCTTGGGAGGGGACGAGCCACCCATGACAAGGCTTAATCTCTACCGCGAGCAAATTGGTGCTTGATCCAGACACAACTGTGGTGTTGCTGGTTTTTCATGCCTTCTCAGCCTAGCCTACCTCCCAGGGTTGTTGTTGTTGTGAGGATAAAATGGAGTGGAGGACTACTTTAGCCACCTGGGGTTTCTCGCTAGAGGGAAAAGGTGGGGTATAAATACAGTGTTGTGCTAATGATAGTTGAAAGGCAGATTGGAAAGCCGGGGGGGGGATTGTGCTCCCCCCTGAAGATTCAGGCTCACTGTGTGGGTGTCCTCCCTGTCGTTAAGCCCAAACTTGGTGTCTGTTTGTCTTGATGTCTGATCTGGCTGTAGTTACACCAGGCTTGGTGACTGCTGCTCTGGACTACTGTAACAGGCTGTACATGGGGCTGCCCTTGGAAGCTGCTCAAAATCCTGAAGCCGGCCTGTTGACCAGGGTCAGCTGCATGATTGCCTCATTGCAAAGCTTTACAGGCTGTTCCCAGGCCTAATTTAGACTGTAGCTATGACCTATGAAGCTCCGAATCAGGCTTTCTGGAAGACGTGTTCCTCTCCTCCAAGATCCTTGGGGCGCACCTTTTTCTCAGTCCCGTGCCCATCAAAGGCACCCTTGGTGGGATATGGGGAAGGGCCTTTTTGGCTGTGCCATTTTTCCCTGACACAAAGGATCTAGGTCAACTCTTTGCTGTTCTTTCGCTGGCAGGAGTTTGGCCTAGAAGCTGGCAGGTTGCTAAAATGAGTTCCGATGGGTTGGTGCCGTTTGATCATGTTTTTATTATTAGATTTGTAGCCACCTTCCCCCCTCTTTCTGGGAACCCTGTGGAGTTGCCCTCACAGCACCCAGTGAGGAAGCCAGGCTCAGAAGCAAGAGACGTGCCTAAAGTGAGCATCGTGAGGGCTGGAACGCCGATCTCCCAAGTCCACCATCCACAATCGTGGTGCTTCTAACTGAAGTTTATAATGTAATGCCTTGATTCGGATTTGCTTTTTAAACTGGATGCTGTTCTCGCCTGCCCTGGGCCCCAGGTTTTAGCAGAAAGGCCGGGCAAAAATAAGCAGTGGGGTGCAAACTTTATTCTTATTTATTTATTTATTCATTTGGCACATTTATATGCCGCCCCATTCGCAAAAGCCTCGGGGTGGCTTCCAAAGCAAATAAATAACTATACAATTACATTAAAAATCTGGAGACACCCCTGCATAGATATAAAATCAATAAATACACTCAACAATTAAAATAACATTTAAATAAAAAGGTCTTGGCCTGGCGCCGAAAAACAAATAACGACAGATTTTCGTTACAAATAAAAAACAAATCTTCCGGATTTTGTTCCATGCCCCTGAAGCTGCATGTTTAGTTGAGAGCAAGTTTTATTGAACTGTATGGGGTTTATTTCTCTGTAGACGATGCGAGTGGGGAATCTATACCAAAGCGCGAGGTAATTTGGCACGTCCGTGCTGGATCATAAGAGGCAATAGCCGAGGTATCCTATTCATAGCTGTCCTGACTGCAGAAAGAGATGCTCCTTAAATATTGGAATTAGTCTGCCTTAAACTATGGGAAATATTTTCTTTCCAGGTTTCTAGTGACTCCTTTGTCTAGATATTTACCCACTCCGTATTTTACGCCAAGCTTTGCAGGAGCTCAGCCTCCCGGGGGACGAGCGTTCAGCACCACGGACAGCGCCTTCGGAGCCCCGCGCTCGCTCCGGCGGGGCGGGTATCCCCTCGGCGGGGCAGCCTCGCCGATCCGCGCGCAGGGCGGCTGCTCCAGGGATGCCTCCTTGAAGGTTCGCAGCAAAAGCAGGAGCGGCTATGTGGCCCCACGTGCGGGCGGGCGGGCGGGCGGGCGCGGGGGGGCACCGGCCGCCGCTGCTGCTGCTGCTGCCCGCATCCGGCCGTAGCTATTTGCATCGCGTTTGCATATATGCCGATGTGATGCAATCAGCGTCCTCCGCGGCTGGCGACGCCCCCGCGGCCGTCCGGTCGGCAAGCCGGCGCCCGCAGGCCTCTGCCTCGCAGGAGCGCTGCCCGGCCGGGCGAGAGTTAAGCGCGGAGCCGGGCCTGGCGGGAGGCGGCCGGGCCGGCCGGAGGGGCGGAGCCGGCGCGTCCCGCAGCGCCGCCCGCTCCGACGCCGAGGGGCACTCCGAGGATGCGGCGCGGCGGGCGGGGGCTCCGCGCCC